GCCATAAAACCATCGTGTGATAGGTGCCCTCCCTGTACCCAGAGGAAAGGCACATCCTTATCTCCGAAGACACAGGGCTGCCCGGAAGAATCCAACAATCGGGCCTTGCCGTTTCCCGGTTTACTAAATTCAGCTCACCTTTGTCCTACTACATCTTCCCAAGGCTTCCCACTCTTCATCAAACCTAACATAAAAACACTCAGGTTTAATTGTTTCTTAAGGTCTTCATTTACTTCCTTGTGAAGCCTTGTGTGTCTCATAAAAACTTGTATTAAATACATTCGTATGCTTTCCTCTTGTTAATCTGTCTTTTGTTATAGAAGTTTCAGTTGAGAACTTAAAATGGTAGAGGAAAAAAGAGGTTTTCCTCCCTATACCATTTATCTCAGTCTGGAAGAACTGGGAAGCCTTCAAGCTCACGGTGGTAGATAAATGTTTTCCAAAATTCTAATTTTAGCTTAAAAACTTGAAACTAGCAACAAATTCTATCAGTTCTCTTATTTGAAGTGGTAAGTTCATTTTTTTCTTTTGCAGGACAATGTCTGTCATAGTTTGTTAGTCATTCTTTCAAGTAAAAATAATGTTCTATGAAAAAGGTGACTGGTTCAGCTCACAACTCAATCACACGACTGCTTTTCCTGCAGACAAATATTGTTACTGTAGTATGCAATAAAAGTGCTTTACTAGTATCATATAGAATTTAAAAAGACATGTACTCAAGGGTCAAGATTTAATGAAATTAATATTTTTTACAGCTTCATGAGGACATTTTAATGAGAGCATGTGGTAGTGAAGAATATAGTGACTACTAGTATAGTTTGGTACTTTGATTTGTGCTAGGGGCCCAGCAATTTTACCCACAATTGCTTTCACACCATTAGTGTAAATATTAATACAGTGAAAAAGGCACACACTGTCTTAGTACTACTGCAAAAACAGTTTTGATCTCCTGGACTTCCTGTAAGAGGTTTTTTTGGAGTCACTAGGGGTGTGTTGACCACATTTTGAGAACCAGTGATCGAGATGAAAGATGATAGCAGTTTGGACCAGCGTGGCAGGAGTGGAAGTAGTGAGATCTATTTTGGTTCTGGCTGTATTTTGAAGGAAGATTCTGTAAGATTTGCTGCCCAGCTTGGATGTGGAGTGGAAGAAAGGGGTCAAGTTTTCTGGCCTGAGCTACTGCTGAAAGATGAAGTTCCATTACTGAGATGGAGGAAGACAGCAGGGTTTGGGGAAGATCAGAAATTCAGTTTTGAATGTTAATTTTGAGATGCCCATGAAACACCTAGAGATGTCATCTGAGCAGCTGGATACAGACTGCAGTGGAAGAAAGATGGCTGGAGATACACATTTAGATATTGGTATTTAAAACCATAAGACTTGATGAAATCACCAAGGGAGGGAAGATGGACAGAAAAGAGATCCCAGGACCAAGGTGCCAACATGTCAAAGGTGAAGAGAAAGCCAACAAAAGAAACTGAAGAGTGGCCAAGGAGGAAGGAGGGAAAGCCAAGCCCAGCGTTTCCAGGAGAGGGATCATCGCCATTGAGTACTGCTAGTAAGGCAAGTAAAACGAGGGCTGAGAACTGCTCACTGGAATCAGCAACATGTAGTTCACTGGTGACCTTGGAGTAGTTTCAATGGAGTTGTGGAGGCAGAAGTTCTGGTGAGAGTGGGCTCAAGAAAGATTTTTATACAAATGTTCACAGCAGCTTTATTCGTAACAGCTTCAACCTGGAAACAGTCTAAGTGTTCGACAACAGGTGAATGGATAAACAAATGAGCAGAATCCCATTTATAAAGTGGAATAGTATCCAGTAATAAAAAATTAGACTACTGACACATACCAACATGGATGAATCTCAAAAAACACTGTGCTGAAAGAAGCTGGAAATGAAAGAGTACATACTACACGATTCCATTTATATGAAGTTCTAAACCAGGCAAAACAAATTTATATTTATAGAAGTCTGATTAGTGTTTGCCCAGGGAGGGGAGTAGGGCTAAGTATTGACTGCAAAGTGGCAAAAGAAAACTTTCTGCTGTGAAGGAAACGTTCTAAATATTAATAGAATGCTGATTATATGCATACATTTGTCAAAACTCATTATACTGTATACTTAAAAATAATGGGAAGAGACAAAACAGTGAACATCATACAAGTCTTTCTGAGTGGTCTCAATGTAAAGGGGAAGCTAGAATAGTGACACAACAGCAAGAGGGAGAAGTGGAGTTGAAATTTTTTTAACGTAGGATAAATAATAGCCTATTTGTATGTTGATCACAGAGCAGTAAAGGGAAAACCTGATGACACAGGGGAGACACGCAGAAACAGTGCTTATAATGATGGATTATGGATTTTAAGGTGGGCCAAGTGGGAAATGTACGCATGAAGAGGTGAGGAACAGTGAAAATGTGATCTGTATCAGTGGATTCTGGTCTTGGTGCAGTTGCAGGATTACTGGAATTAGGATACTAAAGAGAGTGAGCATAAAAGATAGGTAGTGAGAATGATACTTAATATTGAGATTGAAGCTGTAGTTTACCGACCCTGAGGTAGACAATGCTTGACTTCAGCTATCTTACTTACCCTGCCTTTCATAATGGATTGAAACTCTATGACTGCATACTTGATATATATTTTTGAGATATTCCACTACACAGAAAAATCTGAACACCTGGACGTTTTGGGTATGTTATGGCCTAGAAGCTTACCAAATGGCCAGTGGAAGCCAAGTGGCGCCTCATCCTGTTTTAATTTTTCCTGTTGAATGATCTTAGCTGTACTGTTACCCTGCTTCCTGCACTTGATAGCCTGATTGGTGAGATTAGTCTAGACTGATCTCAAATCAGCAATGTCACACAATACATTCTAAATATTCCTTTTTAAGGAGTGATAGAGGTAGGGACTTCCTTGGTGGTCCAGTGGTAAAGAATCAGCCTTACAATGCAGGGGAGGCGGGTTCCATCCCTGGTCAGAGAACTAAGATCCCACATGCCGCAGGGCAACTAAGCCTGCACGCCACAACTACCGAGCTTGCGTGCCTCAACTAGACAGCCTGTGTGCTGCAAACTACAGAGCCCATGCACTCTGGACCCCGCGCACCACAACTACAGAGCTCACACACCCTGGAGCCTGTGTGCCACAACTAGAGAAGAGAAAACCCGCTTGTCACAACTACAGAGAAGCCCGCACACTGCAACAAAGAGCCCACGTGCTGCAACGAAAGATCCGGCACGCCTCAACTAAGATCCCGCGTGCCACAACTAAGACCCGATGCAGCCAAAAAATAAGTAAAATAAATAAATAATAAACAAATCTTAAAAAAAAAAAAAAAGAAAAGTGGTGACAGGTAGAATGCTGTGAGACACAGGTAAACCAGACTGTTAATCTAGACTAAGTGATAAGAAAGCAAATAACTCTGTGGAACCTTACCCTCCTCCCCAAACAGAAATTATTTCAAAGTTATCTGACAGCTCTGATTCATTCTAAAGTGTGTTCCTAGCAGTTGAGGCTACGTATTAACCACCTTCACTGTGCAACCACTGTACATTCTCAGTTCTTTTCTTGGAACATTCCTTTCAAAATGCTCTTTTTAGAAAATACTGCTCTACTAAACAGAGATGACTAATCGTGCGAACCCCACACATTACAAAATTATAATGTTAGTTTTCACAAAGGAAAATAGGAGACAAATGTATTTTCTTAATGGGAATAAGATCCTTGGGACAGAGCTAACTGCTAACCATAAATGCCCATCTGCCACAGCATGAAAGAAAATTGTATTTATCACTGTAAAGGGCTGTAAAGTACTTACTTTCCACAACTGTTTAATGGCTGAAATTCCAATCAAAGAGTTAATATTTGGACTCTCACATCTCATGTTTAGTTACACAAATTAGAATGTTCCAGCCTGGAAAGGCTAACTGAAAAGAACAGAGACCCACTAACTATGGTTGGACTACTTATAACCAATAGAAGAAAATCAGAAGAGCCACTGGGTGAAAATCCCCTGAAAATCAAACAAGAGTTTTAATAAGAAATCATTTTTGAGAAGTACTCTTTTAAATAGTAGCAAGTATCTGTTATGCACTTACAAAAAAGAAAAAAGAAAAAAGTAAATTTTGGTTACTTTAAAAATTTAATGGTAAATCTTATGGGCTCATTTTTGTTTTATCATCCCACCCTACTCAAATTTGTATGTGAAGCCATTCCAGACAAAAATTTAAAGTACTTTGTGCTATGTTATCAGCACTACACATTTCCAGTAATGGTATGAATTCAAATCATGGTGAAAACAAGCTAACTAGTTTAGCCCAGTGACAAGAGAAATCATGCTTATGAAGGAAGACTTAGACTAAGATCTGAAATATCATAATTTGAAGGGGTTATTCTTCCCATTGCTATAAGTCCAGTTTTCTAATAAAGACCAAAAGACAATTTCTTTTTGATACAGTTTTCGCTACATTAAATATTAATTTCTGTTGTATCGACCCACACACATACTAGTGTAGTATTTGATGAGGTTGACAATTCACAAACTGATCTAATGTCGATGCCATATATTCTTTGGAAGGGGTCCCTGTCTGTATGATAATGATAATTAATATCACCTAGCATGTACTGACTGTTTTCTATGTGCCAGGCACTGATCTAAGTATCAACAGTTGAAATGTATCAGTTTATGAATTGGCAACATTCATGGAGGGGGAGAGAGGTTAAGGAACCTAAGATTACACAGGAAGTAAGAGCTGCAGCCAAGGCCTGAACTGGCTCCAGAGCTCATGCTTCTCAACACTTAACTATGCTGCCTTGTGCGTGTCTTGTTTTGAAAAAGAACCAGCTGGTGAACTGAAAAGAAGCATGTGACCCACTTCTCCTTAAAATTTCCGTTATCTTAAAAATGATTCCTTTGTTAAGACTTGTTTTAAATGCTTCTGATTTTATAAAAGGCTTTAATATATTGAAATGTCACTTTATAATGCTAATGGTTGTTGTATACATTTAATTGAATGTTTTCTGTTCTGCGTTTCAAACTGAGTCAATAATTGTAAGTGACACAATTGTATAGAGTGATATAAGTATATTAACAGTTACACGTTTAACTTACCACATAAATCTAGTTTGAAAAGCGTATTAGTAAATAAGTACATATTTATCCCAATCTTTAAAAACTTTCATGAAACCTAGGGTAAATGCATTGAAACTAGATTTCCTGGGCAATACTAGAGAACTACATGACTCAAGAATATTTGCAAAGAGAGAAGAAGCTAAAAAATGAGAACAGAATTATGTGGCAATCAACTAAGCTGTCTTCAAATACAATTTGTGTGGTCTCGTTTCCATATTTTAGTCCCTTATGCTTGCTCTTTTAATGTATTATATCCTGATATTCTAGCAAATACAATTAAAACTACTCCTCAGAAAGGAAATCTGCAATAAAATATGTAATACCTTGTACACAGTTACTAGTTTAATAAAACAACATCCAAATAACTAACCAATTACCAGTATTTAAAATTTATAGTAAGAAACTTATTAAAAACAACAAAAGACTTTCTCTGTTCCAAATTTAGGCCAATTTAAATGACTTTCAATACAGGCAAACTCAATGTAGGGGTTACATTTGGTTAAATCTCACTGACCAGACTTCCAAGAATGTGATTATGGCGGTGGATCACCAGGATCAGGCAGTGCCCTCCTTAGCTGCATCCTCAGACTCCTGCCATGCTTCTTCTCTCCTACTGAGGAGGCTCAGGAAAGGACCCATCATCCATGCGCTCACATAAAACCCTCCCTCCCCTCCCTCCCCACCCCTCCCCTACAACAAAAACTGCAAAGTAGTGCTTTTGTGGCCTTTTCACTGGAGACCATAAGTTTGAGTTGAATTATCCAATGTGAGGGTCACAATGAGAGACCGTGGATCTTTCTTATTCTTGTGCACTGTGATCTTTCCTTTCAAGGCTTCACCTATAGAAGAAAGGCAAAAAGTGTGTTTCAGAATTCAAGGAATACAGTGCAGCAGAAAAGTAAGAGTAGACCTAGTATTGCTCTTTTTTGGTGTGAAATGTTTCACTAATTTTTTTTTTAACTTAAAATCTTTTAGGGCAATTTTACGTTTAATTTTTGAACAAAACATCTAACTTATGCAGCACAAGTGTCAAATGCTCGTGAAAGAGTAAGCAAAACTACAGTGGTCACTGCAGGGTTGGGGGCTGTGTTATTGGACTCCTCAATATGAGCCCTTATGGTGCATCCTGGGCATAAAAAAAAAAGACATGGCCCCTGCCCTCAAAGAGTTCATGGTCAAGGGTGAAGAGAAATAGCTACATTAACAATTATACAACAGGTATGTGTCTAAAGTGTGCTGGAGGTGAGGATTGGGGATGGTCGGAAGGCAGTAAAAGGCAAAGCTCCACAAGAATTAATGGATGAATTATCTGAGGACTAAAGTCAAGGTTACCTTAACGAGTGTAGTACATGGAGCAGCTTTTAAGGAAGAGAAAACACATATAGAGAGCCCTTGGTGAACGGCATTTTGGGGAAATGAAAATTACAGCTGCGAAAATTTAAATGTGTATTTTATAGAGGCACATGACAAGGCTGTTGTCCTTTAAGGTACTCACACCGTAAATGTAAAACAGAGCTTACACAGGTAAAAGAATGAACACAAAAAATACAAGGCAAAGAATGATTCCCTAAAAACTTATCCTGAATGCTCCAAATTTTGTTTCACTCCAAAATGGAATTATATCTATGTGCTTTTCTGATTATAGATACTTCTCATTTTAAGTTTTTTCATTTATTTACCAACAGCCATTTAAAAATAAAAACAAAATTGTTAAGTTGTAACTGATCACCATTCCTTGCTTTAATAAGAGTAAAATCACAGCAAATACTATCAGGTATAGCTTTGAAAATCTGGATGGATACAGTGAGGCTCCATATAAAATGACTGTGGAATCTATATAAAACTATCAAAATACTGAATCAATATCTTATTTTAAAAAACCCTGCAAATCAAATCCCCCACATTAAGGGCTAAAGAATCTGAATGCTTTTCAATATGGTAGTGAAATAACACAGTAAAACACAGCAGAACCACCTCATAGTTATACCTCAGAGTATAAAGATTCCATTACTGATACATTCTACACAGCCTGTAAAAAAGGCAAGGCTTATATAGTTTAATACAAAATTAAGGAATTAGAGTAATGGAAAAAATAATGTGGCCCAAGATGCAGTCTATGTAACCTAATATAACAGTGATTTTACGTGTAGGTGTTATGTTAATACGTACATCTGGCTTTCTTTGGCTTCTGTATCTGACCTATTATTCCTCTACATTACTAAGAAAATGAAAAAAAAAACTACATCAAACGCCAAGCTCATCAATAGCCTGACAAAGATTACCTGTGAGGTAGTTCTACAAACTTTGTAGAAAGTCCAGGTTAATTATTAGACAATAATTGCTAATATTTATTTAACATTTATTTTGTGCTAGCCCTATTCTAAAGCCTTTATGTTATTTATGTCACTTAATGATTACAAAATATCTCTGTGAGGTTAAGTACGTTTCCCTCACTTTACAGATGAGAAACAAGGTTCAGGAAGGCTAAGCAATTTGCCCAAGGTCATACCGCCAGTTAGGGAAGAACCAGGATGTTAAGCAGGGCAGTTTTGATTTCAGAGCCAATGTTCGTCAACTACAGTCTAGTACCTCCCTATCTGTACCTGAAAATTGATTATTATAGTTTTAATACACTTTAATGGACATGAGACAGTCAAAATTTTACTATTCTATGATATTATTTATAAAAACATTTAGCCACTTTATAAAAATTTTACTAATATTAAATTTTATACAATAATTTTTATTCTATAACTTTAATAAGCTATAATACATGTTTTCTTTACCATTAAGACATTAACCTAGGGAAGAAGTCATAAGTATCTTCAACAAATCTAAGAGATTTTCCATTTTTGAATATATAGGCAATATTTTCTTGTTTCTTTTTTTTTTTTTTTTTTTTTTTTGTGGTACGTGGGCCTCTCACTGTTTTGGCCTCTCCTGTTGCGGAGCACAGGCTCTGGACGCGCATGCTCAGCGGCCACAGCTCACGGGCCCAGCCACTCCGTGGCATGTGGGATCTTCCCGAACCGGGGCACGAACCCGTGTCCCCTGCATCTGCAGGCGGACTCTCAACCACTGCGCCACCAGGGAAGCCCTCTTGTTTCTATTTTTTACCAACATTTAAAAATTGTTATTTTATACCAACAGTCATATCCTGAACTTATCATTTACTGATACTAAAATTGGAAATGAGTAGCTGCTCTATGATAAACTGCTATTGGTTTTATAAGTATATGACAGAAAAGAGTAATTACCAACTTGGTTATTAGGTTTAAATTACTGTTACTGAATTATCAACACAAGTTAACAAGTGTTGAATTTTACAAATTAGTGGCTTGTTAATTCCTTCCTATTTATAAGCAATGTGTCTTAGTGTAAATTACTTAATTTAGTTGCTTTTCTACAGTAGTTCCTATGTATGAAAAGACAGATAATGTATACTTGAGATATAAAAATAATGAAATGATCTCTACAGACCCAACATCAGGCTGGAATCTTACACAAACCACTGAAACCCCGTATTATGTCCCTCCAATCACATCTCTTCTCCAACCTCCAGTGGTAACCATGATTCTAATTTCTTGTTACCATTACCTATTCAAAATAGTTCCACTTCACAGAGATGTATCCTGTATTAACAGACTGCTATTTATTTGTTCTTCCATTAAATTATTTCTAGTTTCTTTTTTTTACAAATAATGCTGCTATGATTACTGTTATATATGTCTGTTGTGTCCATAAGACAATATATTGTTTCTCTAGGATGGAAACGGCAGGATTTTAGGACATACACATGCTCAAATTACCATATAATGATAAATGGGCCTTTACTAATAAACTTCATCTCGTCATCGAAAAAGTCTCTTATCTACATAAGAAGTGTAACTTTCTTTATTGAGAGAATATTTATCAAAATCTGAGAGCAAATATGATAAAAAGCCAACACAGCAGCATTTAAAGTGAGAACACAGCAAAAATACCACTATCACTACATTATTTAACATTATTCTTGAATGTTCTACACAATGCAATATGACATAAAACAGAAATTAAGAATACAAATGTACTACTATTACGGGGGAAAAAAGAGATACAACTAATTTCAAATGTTATTTTCAGGGAAA